ACACACACAAACAGAAAACACACACACACACACACACACACACACACACACACACACACACACACACACACACACACACACACACACACACAGACACACACACACACAGGCAGAGAGACCACCACTGGAAGAAAGAAACACACACACACACTGCAACTCTGCCCTTGGCACTGCTACATTACTATGTGGGCTGGGCGGCACCATGTGGGCTGCATGATGCCACGTGGTGGGATGGTACCATTGGACCAAACGGCACCATGCGGGGCGAGCCGAGTACCATATGCACTGGACGGCACTAATGCACCCCCCCCCCCCCCCCCAAAGAAAAAGAGAGCACAGGCATGGCCCCCAGGAAAGACAGGAGAAACACACATTGCCCACATAAGGTACCATTATGCCCTTGCCATGGTGGGATACGACCAGGCACGACCATATGGTGGTACCATGTGCTCCGAGCGTCATCATGTGGTGGTCCCATGTGCTCTGGACGGTATCATGTGGCGTGGGCAGGCTAATCTGGCGGTACCATGCGCTTCAAGGGGTATCATGTGGCAGTACCATGTGCTCTGGGCGGTATCATCTGACGTGGGAAGGCTGAGTGGTATTATGTGCCCGGAGTGATACCATGAGTGTTGTTGGGTCGTGCCATGCGGAGGTGGGTGAGACACCATGTGGACCTACTATGCGGGATGTGGACCAGGCAGTGCTTTATGCAGGGGGGTGGGTCATACTATGCGGACTGGGCAGGGTGAGATACTAAACCACCAGTTCCGCTGAAGCAGAGCACAGTTCTTACCAGTCAATATACGTGTCCAGAGCTTTTTGAGGCCCGGGCCCGGGCCCAGTGGCCAAAGCGGCAGGCAACTTTGAAAAGGCGCACTTGCAGGGTCGTGAGCCATGGGAAAAAAAGTGCAGCCTTTGTTACCTTAGGCTCGTGTGAAGTGGGTGGTGGTTTGAGTGACGTGGGTGACACTAAGCGTGTCGGGTGGGACTATGTGGGGCCGGGTTGTAATACGCGGACTGGGCGATGCGATGTGGGTCTGGTGGTACTCTGTGGGTAGGGTGGCACTCTGTGGGGCGGGTGTGGATGGCACCATGTCTGCTGGCCTGGGAGACTGGGGGGCAGGTGGGCGATGCTACGTGTGGCTGTACGATACAGACAACCCCAAAAGAGGGACGCTGGGCCCGATTCCCAGCATTGTTATAAAAATAGAAAAAACGACTCCCAAGCGAGAGAATGCGAAAAACGAAAAGAAAGCAAAGCCCATGTGGCTGCACGGTACGCATCAAGCATTGATAGACAGATGGACCCTGGCTCGAAACCTGAGAAAAGAAGTCGGAAAAAAAACGACTCTCGGATCTTTTGTCGTAAAAGAAGAACTCTCAAAAAGGACCTAGTAAAAAAAAAAAAAGAAACAGCCTCAGATATTTAGGCCTCCGCTACGTGTTTGCTTTCATACTCGTCGAGGTCGTGGCCATAATCCCGGTCTGATGCACATTTCGGAAAGTGCCAGAAAACAAAACAAAACAAAACAAAACAAAACAAAACAAAAAACAAAAAACAAAACAAAAAACAAAACAAAACAAAACAAAACAAAACAAAACAGAAAAAAAAACAACGACAAACAAGCAGCTCTCGGATTTTTGGGCGTTGCTACGTGATTGCTGTTAAGTTCATCCAGGCCTGGCTGTAATCCCAGTCAGATGCACTTGGGAAGGTGCCAGTGTGAGTACGCCCTAAGAGAACAACGCGATCTCTTTTTTTTCCACTCGTTGGGTGACCTCCAGACCGATTCAGAGCTAGTGCGATTTCTTTCCATCCGAATCGGCTGGCTATGTACTTGTATTCAAACATGACGGACGGACGGGCAGAAGAATGAAAGGACGAAAGTGGTCTCCTGGGGGACGCGACAGGCTCATGTTCATCTGGATTCGGACCCATGCGTGCGTGTTTTTGACTTGACCGTCGGCTTCTCATCTGGATTCGAACTTCGTTTCCGTATTTCAACAAACACCAGTGGACAATCAGAACCGCAGCGGGAAAAATAAAAAGGGTCCTCTGCTGGGACGCCACCCTGCCCTCTGCGGTTCCAGGTCCCCGCGCCTTTGCATCACGCGAGATCGGTTTTAGCTTTTATAAGTAGCACAGAGAAAAAGAAACTGAAAGAATTTGCACAACCTGCCCTGTCAGGTCCCCAGCTTCTCTGTCAGGGCATGAATGTGTGCCATTTTTGCCTTTGGAATATAAGGAGCATGTATCTCTTGCTAGAACGTGGAAAGATGCACTCGCCATAGCTTTTGTCGTTGACACATTTGTGCTTGATGATTAGGCACAGCAAAGAATGACGATGGACCTCACCGCACTGCTCACCAAATGTGAAAAAGACGAAAGCTATGGAGAGTGTGCATCTTTCCACGTACTTGCAGGAGATACATGCTCCATTTTGCACATTCGGCGAGTGGTGCGGCGAGGTCTGAAAGGAATTACACTTAATTGGAGGGATACGAGTACGCAGTGTGCGTTTGTGTGACTAAATTGTGTGCCTTTTTTGTTGGTCATTGCCTTGGGGAAATCGAAATGTCCAAAATGTCAGAGGTGGATGATGCGCAAAGAATGATGCAGATGCAGATGCAGATGGGCGGTCTCGGCGGTGATGCTTCAAAGGTGTGCAAGATTTGTTTTCCCTGCTTTTGTCCTCCTCACTCTCTTCAGGCCTCCCTCTGTGTGTGAGCCCTCACCCCCCTCCCTTCCTTCCCACCTTCCTCCCTCCAACGTCCCCTTCTTCCTCCTGCCCTGTCTGTCAACGCGTCTCTGTTCCACCCCAGATGTGTTGCACCGCTAGCAGTTATACCTGGCTGTACTGGTGGTTTAAAACTGAATGTGGGATTAAACCACTGAATGTGGGATTGAGGTGGGGCCTTTCATGATGCTCTGCCCTTACCTCTAGACAGAGAAAGCCTATTAAACCGCCAGTACTTGGCCCCGCCGCTCGAAGAAAATAGAGTAGAAACGTTTCTAGTCGGATGAATTTGGGCGCTCCTGTTGTAGTCCGTACGTTTCCTAAAATTGTGGCGCGTTAACAGGCACGACTCTAGGAAGTACTGGTACCGCCAGTACACCGCCCGCCCCAGCCTTGCTGAAAATGCAACCCGTCGCCTACAAAAGTTTCGGAGGCTCGGCCTACCGGGGACCACAATGGCTGCTCAGCGGCGCCAGCCAAAAAAGAAAGAAAGTGCGCCGCTCGCCGGCAGTTCGGAAAAAGAGCTTGGCGCGCAGTAAAGCAGGCGCCTCCACCAGGCCCGGGTGTACTACGGTGGCTTAAAGCTGAAGCCGGATCGAATTTCAAATTGATTTTTTGGATAGGAAAAAAATATTGCGTAACAAAATAATCTATTGCGCGCTTTGTTCTAGCAAATTGGTGGTGTTTGTCGTCTACAGGTACTTTTCGTACTTTGTAGGTCTGATAGACGTGCGAGGAGAAGGCTGTGTACCACCGCAGGCCTAACTCGGTTGACACGCCCATGAACTGCTGAAAACCAATACACACGCATGTTAATCCAGATGCAGTCAGATTTTAACAAAATAAACGCACTTCTGAATTACCTAAGGCTGGTCATTTCAATGTGATATCTCAATGCCGTCGCTCTTTAAAAAGTAACAAAAAAATAAAAAATAAAAAATAAAAAATAAAAAATAAAAAATAAAAAATAAAAATAAAAAAATAAAAACAAAAAATAAAAAACAAAAAATAAAAATAAAAAATAAAAATAAAAAATAAAAATAAAAATAAGTTTGTGTTGTGCCCTGTGTCCCCCTCCACAGGTACTTTATTATGAGCTTCATTGATCTGAGAGGGGTGCTAAAAGTGTAGTCTGTTTTGTGTCCTGTGTGCCCCATCTACAGGTACTTTTTGAATTTCGTCGGTCTGAGAGGCTTCTTCAGTCTGATCCTTGGCGACTCCAACGGTGAGGGGGCATTCATTTGCTTGCTTGCTGGTGCTTCTCCTGCTCTAGCGTTTTCTTCTTTTTTCTCTTTAAGTTTCGTCTTCTTTTTTTCGGCTATAGGCATCCACCTGTTATGGGCGAGGTTCGGGTTTTGACTCCGTCTGGCTGCCCGGTCTATCGGCTTAAAAAAAAAAACCCTGAAACTCCGGCCAACTCCCGGTGCGCACTGTCTAACTGTTAATTGAGCTGTTTGTGCATTCAAGCGCCCGAGAACGGACAAAAAGGAAACAAGGGGAGGAAAAATCCGAAGAAAAAGGAAGGAAAGGAAAGCAGTGACGCGCGCAAGTCCAAACGAATGCGGACACACGGCCTACCCATCAAGGGTTGAACCTGCAGAACCTGAGTTAGAGATACGCCCCCNCACACACACACACACACATGCGCGCGCGCGGGGCCTGCTTCCTCTCTCTCAGTCTCTCTAACCCTCACTCTATATATATATATCTCTTGGCTTTCGTTAGGTGTGTGTGAGGACTGCAGTGTGATTTTGATTTTCTTTGTATCTTGGTTTGCAGCCCTGCAGATGATGATGGTATAGGGGTTATATGGAGAATGGATGCGCTCTGCACGTGCTCCATTCTCTCTGCCGTCGCTTTTTTTTTCTGAATCCCTCGAGGTGTCTTGTTGGTGGATTGGGCGATTTCCCATTTTGGGGTTTTGTGATAGGCAGCACTCCCCCTAAGACTTTGTCAGCTCCATTTGGCTGCATTTGTACTTCAATCGCAGGCAAATTCAGTTGAATTATTCGTAGTGTGAGGAGTGCGCTGTACGCCCTTGTGCTTGGAGACCCATGTGTGGTTGCATCACTTGCAAACAAGTCACTCCCTCTCCATTTCAGTCGACTCGATTCTTAGTTTCAATAAATGTTTTCGTCTTTGGGCCTTTGCGCAGGCTCTGACGGGTGAGAAGGATGCGTTGGAGTTACTCCGACATGAATGGTTGTTGCCAAAAATGGAGCAGAAAGCAGAGGCCACGATGCGCAGAATCTTGGCGTCTTCGTAGCAGGAAGTTGATGACGAGGCACTCTTTTGGGTGGGTGGCTCAGTGTCGACGGGGGAAAGGGAGCTAGAGAGAGAGGGAGGGAGGGAGGGAGGTTTCCAGCCATGACATGAATGTTGCACATCTGTGGTGGTTTACGTCTTCGTAGCAGGACGTTTATGACAAGGTACCCTTTTGGGTGGGTCACTCAGTGTGGATGGGGGGAAGGGAGAAAGGGGGGAAGGAGGGAGGGAGGGAGGGAGGGAGGGAGGGAGGGAGGGAAGGGTATGCATGCCATGGCATGAATGTTGCACATCTGTGGTGATTTACTCTTAACCTGTGGGTGACTACCGGTCCTTTTGGTACTTTGGCCGAAGCTGACAAGTGGAAAATGGGATTCCAAGTTTGAAACCCTCAACCTCGGCCCCTCTGCAGATCAGGCCCTCCTTCTCACTGAGCAGGATGGGTTATCGGCCTTTCTCTGTGGGACGCTCCTGTGCGTACTTATGGGAGACATGGCTTGGTTCAGCATGGTGGTGGTGTCATTCAACAGAGGTTGGGTATCTGCGTGGAGGTGATGATGGAAAAAAGGTAAGCGGCTGGTTGGAATTAACTGTGGGTATGACTAACAAACAATCTGATCTAACAAATGAGATAGTGAGGGGTTAATTGCCATAGCAGTTGGTGTGGGGCAGGGAGTAAATTTGTGGGTGTAGATTAGAGACTCATAGAGAGGTGATTCTTTTTTTTTTTTTTTTTTTTTTTTTTTGAAAAGTGCAATAGTCATCATCTTACAGCCGCACTTTGTGGAGAGGTGTGGCTAGGTTTGAAAATTTGCGGCGCAAGCTTTGCCAATGGAGGGAGATGAGGATGTGTTGTTTTGCAAGTATGAAGTTATCAGTTCAAGTCCTGATCATCTTGGCATTAATGAGGGGATTGATGGCTTTTCCTAATAAGGAAAGTGAATGATGACAGGATTCTTAAAAAATCTTTGTTCCCTTTCAAAACCACGTCGAACCCAAAAAAAAAAAAAAAAAAAAAAAGGGAAAGGCCCTTGCTTTTCTGTTCGATGAGAAGGGGCGCCTCTGTCCGATGAGGATGAAGCTGTGTTTTTGTGTTTTTCATTCCTACTTTCCATGTTGGAATATAAACAGGTGGAAGGGGGGGGGGGCGGCTAGCAACATGGCACACATGCATGCATACCTTGTTCGTGCTTTCTTACCTACATTACCAAAGTCGCCTTTCCTCCTCTGTGTATTGCTACTCTACTATTTTTGCGACGATTTCAATTGCTTGTTAAGCTTCTTCAAGTCGTTTGACTGTTGTTCGACTTCTTCGAGGAGTTGTAGCAATCCCTCGAGGGATTGCTGCTACTGCTACTACTACTACTACTACTACTACTACTACTACTACCTACTACCTACTACTACTGCTGCTACTGCTACTGCTACTGCTACTGCTACTGCTAGTGCTTCTACTGCTTCTACTGCTTCTACTGCTTCTACTGCTACTACAGAGACCACTTGCCTGGCGTCAAAATATGAAAATAAAAATAGTTTTATAACTTTTTAATAGTTTTTATATTTGTATTGTTTTATTCATATGTTGCAAAGAACTTCGATGTGGCCTGAGCGCAAAGGTGTTCAGTTTGTTTTTCTGCAGAACATAGTTTTTTTGCCTTTTTTGAAGTTTTTTCAAGTTTTTTTTCCCCCCCTTTTGGACAGGGACCTTCCCTTGCCCTTGCCCGATCGGGCCCTCTCTCTGTCTCTGTGTCTCTCTCTCTCTGTCTCTGTGTCTCTCTCTCTGTCTCTGTCTCTCTGTCTCTGTCTCTCTCTCTCTCTCTCTCTCTCTCTCTCTCTCTCTCTCTCTCTCTTCTCTCTCTCTCTCTCTCTCTCTCACACACACACACACACACATTTGCAGTTGGCTTGTGTGCTTGCACTTGCGAAGTAAGGCCGACTTGAGGACCTGATAGCTGATTTTCAACGCCTTCTCGTCAATGTTACGATGCGGAATGAGTTGTAACTCTATTCCGCCTCTATGCATCGTAATCGCAGAGGTCGGACTACGATAGACCGGAGTGTGTATAAAGAAACACTCCGGAGTTGTGCAATGTGTCTTCAAGTGTTTGGGTTTTGATCAGCTTTTGATGTCAACCATCTGCCGACAAAGCAGCTGATTTGGTAAATTAAGGTCAAATCGGTGGCGATGCTGACTGGTTCTTCTCCTTCCTCTCCTTCCCTCTCCTTCCCTCTCCTTCCCTCTCCCCCTCCCCTTGTCTCTGGGTCTTCTTCTCCTTCCTCTCCTTCCCTCTCCTCCTCCCCTTGTCCCTCGCCTCATGGACCTGACCTTGATTGAGTGGATAATCACATCATATCGGGCCCCACAGTAGCGGGCTTCCAAATCGAACCACCCACCCTTGGTCCCATCCCCTGCGCATTTCGGCAACGCTACCCTTAGTCCCACCCTTGGTTCCATCCCGTTGGTCCCATCCCCTTGGTCCCATCCTGTTGGTCCCACCCTTGGTCCCATCCCCTTGGTCCCATCCCCTTGGTTGATGAATAGTAAATACAGGAAGGAGACCGGATGCCCGCTTCTTTGCGTCTTGGTTTCATGAGCTCCCGTTATGAAAGAGTGGATTTCTATAGGGTGCCAGGAGTTGTTATGAGAAAGTGGTACTTAGCTTTGGAAAAGGCGGTAGAGGTGTTGCACATCCAACCACCCACCCTTGGGCCCATCCCCCAATTAGGGTTCCATGAGCACCCTTTCATGAAAGAGGGGTATTCTACAGAGTGCCATGAGTTCAGTCCTATGAAAAAGTGGTACTTCCTTTTTGGAAAAGGCGAATGGTTTTTCTATAATAGGTTCGACAAATGAAGTCCAAAGGAACATTTTGTCGCGCCGACTGTCGAAGTCCGAACAGACATTTTATCGATCCGATAAAACTAATAGGCGATCTTTTGACGGCACTCGCCAAGGCAGGCTGAGAGGTGTCGAGTTCTGGAATGGCTGCAAGTCGGAGAGTGACGCCCTGCAATTGAGATCTATGATCTTTTGACTACCAGCGGGCACTGGCAAAAGGGACATGATTAGAAGAGTACCTACCCGGAGTGGGAGGCTACAGACATGGTTGAACGGGGATGGTTTTTTTGGTATGGTTCCGTATTTTCTTGACACTCTACGGCCAATGGACAGGTTGCAGTCCACATTGCGCTCAAAAAAAAAAAAGGAACCATGAAAAAAAAAAAAAACATACCAAAAATAGAAGAGTAGCCAATCGTAGAGTGTCAAGAAAATAGGGAAACATATAAAAAAAAACCTAAACCAAAAATAGAAGAGTACCGGATCGTAGAGTGTCAAGAAAAAAAAGGAACCATACCAAAAAAAACATACCAAAAGTAGAAGAGTACCCAATCAAGAGTGTCAAGAAAATATGGGCCTTTACGGGCAATAGACAGGTTGCAGCCCACGTTGCGCTCAAAAAAACAAGTTACCATGCAAAAAAAGAAACATACCAAGAATAGAAGAGTACCCAATCGTAGAGTGTCAAGAAAATAAGGAAAAAATACCAAAAAAGTCGAAAAACACGAAACCGGAAATAGAAGAGTACCGGATCGTAGAGTGCCAAAAAAAAAAAAAGGAACCATACCAAAAAAAACATACCGAAAATAGAAGAGTGCCTAATTGAGAGTGTCAAGAAAATATGGGCCTTTACGGCCAAATGGACAGGTTTGCGGTCCACGTTGCGCTCAAACTCACAAAGCAAATCAATAGAGAAAAGATAGTTGGAAACAAAATCATCTGGGATGAGCGAGGATGTTAAACGGGTGATCCATCCAGAATTGTAACAACAATTCTACGCGACGGACCCGGCACATCAGTTCTGATAACTTCCAACCGGGTCCGGCATCGGCGCGGCGGACCTGGCCCAACTATGTTTAAATGTTAACCCCTGGCTAACCAAGACTATCCCTATCCTAGGGCAACCAGACTTAGCCCCAACTATGTTGTCACCCTGGTTAACCAAGACTAACCCTATCATTTGTATAATTCCGTATGGGATGCCGGGCCCGGTTCCCAGCACGTGTTGTTCCCAGCAGTGTTGCTCCCCACGAATATGTTGTGTAGTGTATTGATAAACTGTTGAGCATGCACCTAACCATGAACGCGATACAGATTAGGATGACCACACCACTGCGACTTCACAAAGCACCATTACACACCACACACCGGCCTGCGGGTGCCGGGTGTCAGCATGAAAACCTGCACCATTTCGAAGGCCTCAAACGTTTTTTTTTTTTTTTAAACAGCGCCGTATGCCGCGCAGCCCCGCCGAGTTTTGCTTGTGGTGCCAGAAACTTTCTGCAAAGATGGGGCGGTGGAAAAACTGCTACTTAGGAAGTCGAGGACCGGTATCACTACATGGGGGTGCTCTTATTACAGTATTACCCCCGCTAGCAGCCCCCTTCAGTTTTCTATACTGAAAAGAAAACAGAAGAAAAAAGAAAAGAAAACAGGGACAGATAACACAAAGCCGAAGCCACGTAATGGCCCCGCTACTCGGTGAGTGTAACTGTTTCTTACGTGATGGGCCGGCTACTGATGGGCCCGCTACTGATGGGCGGCCCGCTACTGATGGGCATCAGTACCCCGCAACTGATGGGATGCTGGACCCAGAGTTCCTAGAACGTGCAGCGCCCCATCAGTAGATCGGTGTTCTCGTACCGCCGCTGGGATAAAAAGATGGCACAAGGGCTTTTTCAAAAAAAAAAAAAAAAGATCGGGGCAACCAGCAACAGTCCTACTTGCAGAGGATGCATATATCAGCTCCCGCTAAACGTCATATAATCCTCAACACATAAAAACTCCATAAGACTCTCTTTTCTTTTTCTATTATTTTAGTTTTTTTTTTATTATTATTTTCTTTTTTATAGTTTTTTTATTATAGGATACATATTGTAAATAAAATACACATAACTGAAGGGTTTGCGTGAAATATGTAAATTGATCTAATTGAGACTCTTTTTTTTTTTTTTTTTTTGCACTTTGTTTTTTGCACTTTTTTTTTCTCCCTTCTTTTTGTGATTGTTTGCCAATGTCTTTGACTATAATATTCAACATTCTGGGATTTTGAATTCATTTTTAAGATTGAGAAACTTCTGTTCTCAATTAACTATGACAAAATTTTGGCCACACGCCAATGCGTTAAACCGTTAAACCACCAGTACCAACCGGTTGGGGCGGACGTGAACGCGGTAGCCAATGGGCCTGCCGCTCCGGTCCAAATTCATTCGAAGCCGGGGGGTGGGGGGGTCCAGAAAATGGTGGTTGGTACTGGTGGTCTGATTGAGAATGAAAAATGACTGCTAAAAAAGATAAAGAGAATAGCCTGCCGGCATAATATGGATGCTTGCTCTACCTGAGGCTAACTGACAGCCCTGGATGAATTTTTCGCTGTCCAACAACGTGCGACATCCCCTGCTAATATGTATAGGGGTCCAACAACAAGCGACACCCCCTTTTAGCTCCCACAAACGACGCTCCGGAGTTTCAAATACGATTCCTAGGTGGGCCAGGGGTCATCCTCGTCGAGGGTGAGCAACTACCTCGTTCCCCGGAACAAAACGTACGGTCATTGTAGCTGAATTTTGGCCACATTTTAGTCTAGGTATGGCTATATTTACCGTACGTTTTATTATGAGGAAAGAATGTAGGATCAGGTTTAACCGTCCTATGCTAGCCAGGGAGAGTCTTTTGATTACTAGCCAGATTACCTAGTAGGGGCTCCTGCCCCCATGATGGAAAAATCCTATCCTTGGTTAACATAGTAGGGGCTCATCTCCTTCCATCGCTTCCATCCCTCACCAGAGGTTAGGCTTAAAGAGGCTTATAAGTTATAACGGACACCTACAGAGCAGCCGACCTCTGTTGGGTAGGTGTGAGGTGCATTGAGAGAAGAATATAGCTTAAATTGAAAGGGGGGGGAAAGAGGAAGGTTGAAGAGTAATAAAGGACCGTGGATCCTACACTGTTACATTGCTGCTTTCATACGGCACGTTGTTGGTTCTTTTACCTCGCCAGACCATCCACACGCTCTTTCATGTCGAAGATCATTTCTTGGGCCATGTGCCACAGCAAGACAATGTATCAACACTCTATTCAACCTCCTCCTTCACACAACTACGAACACTGTTACACTCGGCTGCGGCCGTCATCGCTCTGTCACAATCGCTGCAATGACATGTAGTTTCTACATACATGTGTGCACAGGACTGTCCCTCCTTTCCTGACTGCAGGCACGCTCCCCATTGGAATCACTACGTGTCCCATTTGCGGCCATGAGCGTTATACTGAATGTATGTTGTTCTGTGCTGCCCGTTCTTCCGTCGAGTTAGCCTGCGATTGACATGCCATTTGTCGGGATTGTTTGATCGGCATGGCTGATGCCAGCCATCGAGGCCACAACGGAATGCTTGGCTATGTCTTCCATGTCCTCATCTGTCTCATCCTTAATCACAACAACATATGTCTTCTCTCCCGTCCAGTACAAACTGGACTGAACTGA